TACATGTACATTTGTTTATCCTTGCTCAGATTTGTTCTTTTCAAGAGTTTTCAAATTTTTAGGCATATTGTTATCATCTTTGGAAAAAATGTTATTAACTTCAGTGCTGAAGTTCCGAAATTGCAGATTTATGTTCCATGTAACAGGATTCTTTTTAATACAGTACTCTGAATTTTGCTATTACCCCAGTATAAATATCCTCTACATCAAATCCATCCATTAACTCTGCACACAGAACTTCTATCATATGCTATGATACAAAATGCTTGCCAAATGACTAACAGTTGAGGTATATCAGCTGATATGCTGCTTGCATAATTTTTTTTGGTTAAAGTAGAATGGTTGATGGCATGGTTAAAGGCATCCATTTTTTCAATGTCATCTACCCAGTACATTGATAGATCTGACATTTTCTACACAGTGAGATGAATAAGTAGAAATTAATTTTTTGAGTTCAAATGCATAAAATGATGAGAAATTCAGCTGTCTTTTTTTGAAAATTAAATTCACAGGTATTGAACGATTTCTTGTAAGCTCATTGAGGTAGGATGTTTATTGTCATAGATGGTGGTTATTTCTTCACTCCAATGATGTGATATCACAATTATGCAAACTAACATTTTGCATTTGTATGTAGCTCTTACTCAGTAAGCACCAATGGTTATGTACCTCTTTTGCACTGGGGTTTAATTGCTAAATAGTGCCCTCATCTGGTTTTCTTCTTTAACACAAAATGAATTGATTTTCTAGTTAAAAGGAATCGTGTAATTTATAGCACGATATTCATAATGGAATGTTGCAATTCACTACATGATATTCATAAACAAATGGTGCAATTCACAGCACGGTATTCATGAAGGAATGGTGCAATTCACAGCACAATATTCATTATCTATCAAGTAAAGTTTGTTTCTGTATATGAAACATTTTGTACAGATAAAATTATACACAATGTCAGCCAAAGAAATATTTCATTGAAAAACTAAATTGAAAACTGTATTTATTTATTAGAAAATGCAATGATGTTCAATTTGTAGGATATTTTTCTTCAGAAACCAAAATGGTACAACATGTTTTGTTAATAGTTTGGTTTATTGTACATTTGTGTAATATTAAAACTTGCATACGAGTGCCAAATATATTTTAGCACCATCATTTTTGAAATACTTAATAAACATTCCTTTTGTTTTTAATTACAAATAGCTTTTATGTATTTTGGACAATTTCAAAACACATTCATCAAGCAACCATGAAATGATCTGTTCTGAATGCTTTTGATCAAACAATACCAGTGAATAAAATTGTTTAGTACTCTATTGCAGTTAAATTTGAACAGCAGCAGAATTATCGCTGCAAAATTTCACAACTTTTCCTAAATTCCTGAAATTTTACACATTTTTCTCTTGTAATTACTATTATTTGATAGACACAATCGACATTTTCATCTGTGTGTGATTTTTGAATTGTACCTTCAACTGTTGACATGCATCGATGGTATGTGTTACTTTGGTGTCAAACTCAATTCTATGTTGTGTACAAATTTTATGTCATATTTGATAGTTACAATTTCCCAGTGCAGCATCGAAGATGAGCAATTTAAATTACACATAACTGACAAGAAATTACATTTGTGATGATAATTTAAGGCCATTTTTAATTTTCATGCTTTTTTTTCAGGTGCTGGTGTTTTCCGCAAAGGGGGCGCCACGGTCGTCAACAAAGTTGCCACAATGAACAGCATTATTAACCTGATGAAGCGAAATGTAGCACAGGCTTCAGAAGAGAAATCAACAACTTCTATACCTTCCAATTTCACTAAAGAAATTACTATAACTGATGAAAAAATTAAAGACAATGAAAAAACAGAAAGAACACTCTCCCCATCATCACCTAGGAAATTTGTGTCTCTTGTTGCCAAGGCAACTAAACAGTCTGATAACTGTCAGGGGGAGGACAGTGCATCTATCACCATGGAAACCAGTCCTCAAAGGAATCTGATACAGGAAGTGATAATTGAAGAAAAAGAACCAGATATATGCAGTCAAAAAACAAAACATTATCTTGAATCTGGTAATAGAAATAATTTATTTAACGGGTCATTAGACGATCCTGATTCAACCCCTGTGCCAACAAGATATGTGAAAGATGAAAAACATACCATTGATGAAAATTGGCAAGAAATTACCAAAACTGAAATTAGTGAAATTGCAAACTTTCAGGATTTAGAGCACAATGATGATGACCAATGTTTGCTCGAAAGAACACTGACAGAAGAGGATATCAAAATTGCTGCCATGGATACGCTGGAGGATGAAATTCATCCTGTTGCTGTCATGGTTATCGATGATATCGAAAACAATGACCTATGTAACATTTCTGACAGCTTTACTAAAAATCAGATTGATCATGTTGCCAAGGTTCCTGATCCTGTTGTAAATAGATGTAAAGTTGATACAATGGTTACAAAAAAATGTGCTGAATTCAGTGATGATGCTTTTTGGATGAGAACCTCAGATAGCGTTAGTACAAACAAGCCAGATTTTTCGAATTCAGACATTTCTACAAGAAAGTTAAAAAAAGACAGGCTTCAGTCTGGCAAGCAAAAAGAATCAATGGATGATGTCAAAAACTGTCCTGTTGTCTCAGTGGAAAAGTACACACACCTCAAGGAAATCGCCAAATTTCATATTGTAGATACTCGGAAACTTGAACAGAATTCAGCAGAAAGAACTTTGAAAATTACCTTACTTTCTAGTCAGAATAATAATAAAGAAGTAGATAACAAATCCGACAACATCCATGACAAACTTTTGAAAACAAATGAAAATGTTTCTGTTGAACCATTCCAATTGTTAAAACTACGTCTACAGTCATTGATTCCCTAGCAAGTGAAACAATAGGAGCAAGTCAGGTGTCACATGACAACTCAGGACGCCATAATTTGATAGATCTCAATGCATCTAGCGAATCAGTTAATAGTACTGAAAATAACGCTGAGCGCAAGGATCAGTCATTTCAGGAAAGCCTGAATTCTAAGTTTGATAATATTTACAGTGCAATACATACCATTGAAGATAGTATTTCTGCGGATGAGCGAACACACAGACGAGAATGTTCTGATCAGTCAGGGAAGGTGTTTTCGCACACACCACAAAAATTTGGGCATTCACACACAGCAGAGAGTGTACATGAAACTACAACAGACAACGATGAATTATTTGAGAAAGCAAATTATACCCACTCTGAAAGTGTAGATTATTTTGAAGATGATAGTATTCTTAGAGAGACTAATGCCAAAGATGTGCTTGAACAAGTACAAAAACATTTGCGGAAAGCATCAAAAAAATTTGAAAGTGAGAAAGCAAATGTGGCACATTTTGCCAAAACGAACAAACCTTACATTGAAAAAACTACCACACGAGACCAGTTGCTATGGAAACAAGACGATGCAGCAGGGAATAACATGTACAAAGAAAAAAATAGCTTTGTGTGCACACAAGTACTAGGTAAAGATTCAGATTGTAAAATGTCATGGAAACCACATGCTAAAGAAGAGAAAGAGAGAATTCATCATCGAGAAATTAAGAGAATGCCACAAGTTCCTCAAGAATCTTTTGAAATTGAGGAGGCAAGTAAAAATGTTGTCTTTATTAAAATTTCCATCATTTTTTGGCAGTATGTACTGTAATTACTCTATTAGTAGCAAATGTGTTTTACATAAAATGACAGGTCTGTTTGTTTCCCAAATAAGTTGTTTTTAATGATCTTGTGTTTTATAAATGCAATTTTTTGTTTATTTGTGTCCTACTGGAGATGTACATCAAATGGAACAAGTACAACATTTTCTAGATGATATGTTTAAAAATTTATGTCCTATTTCACAAAATTCATTGTGCCAGGTAATTTCTAGTTGTGGAAAATAATTTTAGTGACCTTTCACCTATCTGAGTGTTACTGTAGAATACTTTTTGCTTAGAATTTATTTTCGTTATTTTCGCTGAAAGGATGCTTCAGTGAAAATAAAATCCAGCGATATTTTTTTTCCTATGTCTCACATTCAACTTGTCAAAAATCATTGAAAATAAATTCCATACAAAACGCCCAAAAAGATTCTTCAGCGAAAATTAATTCCAGCTAAAAAGTATTTCACAGTATTTTAATATATTCAATAATTGTGGAAACTATTTTTTTTCTAGATTGACAGTGGTGACCAGACCATGGAAGACTATTTCATCCAGTCAAATAACAGTCCACCAAATCGTAGTATCACTTCAGGTATAAATGTTGCCATTTATTTCTACTGTAAATCCCTTTACTTAACCAAGAGTCAAATTTTCAAGAGTCGATGAAAATGGTAAAATTTGGTAGTATGGAAAATGTTTCTCGGGTCCTACGTCATAAAGTGTCAGGTGCATTAGCAAAATTTTTTCTTCACGAAAGTCATATACCCGTAATTATCAAATCTTGAAAATTAAGTTGTTTACTGTATTCCTTTTTTACTACACAATAGCAAATCATTGTTTATGAACTGTTGCTACATTATTTAATTAGTGGGAATTGTTTGAATATTGCTTTGTAAATAATTCTTTATTTTTTTTGTTCACTCCCAAGGCACCTTGATGCGCACAGCCAGCGCACAATCAGACAGCAGCGGCTTTGCTGATGACGCAAATGTAGATATTCCTGTCCCAATTCAAATCAAGGTGAGCTTAGTCTTTATTATTATTATATTGTGTTTGTGTCAGTAAATGTACCTTTAAAATAGGAGAAAGTTGCTAGGATAAATATATATAAAATATTTCTTGGTAATTATTCAATTTTACCAGATGTTTTGGGAAATGTACGCTGTATCATTGATAGATCTGAATCAAATAAATGTCCTTGTTCTTTACTGTGCAAATTGCAAATACATTTTGAGACTACATGACATCTGATCATAAATAATAATTTATTGTGTTATCCTGTGCCTGGTTGAACACAAGCATCTTAACTAAGGTTGTATCTGTGAGTGAATGAATATTGACTGCTAGCTTGGCCTGCCTCATTTAGTCTGTGTCACACTCACTAGTTAAGTTTTTGACTCCCGTGTGCAAGCACAAAAGGGAGTCTTTGCAGTTACCCTGTCTGTATGTATGTATGTATGTATGTATGTATGTATGTATGTCACTTTTTTTGTTCCACCGTTATCTCAAGAACCACTAATCAAATTTTGGTAAAACTTGGTACATAGATGCTCTGGGATAATGCGCAGAGTTGATTAGGTTTTGGTAAAAATCTATGAATATTAATTACCTAATTTGCATGATAATTAGCTGATTTTTAGCTGTTCTATGACTGTTCCACTGATATCTGAACAACCACTCATTGGATTTGATGAATTTGGCACATGGATGCTCTGAACTAGTGCACAGATTTGATAGTTTGGGTAAAATCTATGATATTAATTACCTAATTTGCATGATAATTAACTGATTTAAGCTGTTCTATAACTGTTCCACTGATTT